AACTGCATTAATAGTAATTTTTACTCGAAAATATTAATGAATTTAATTTCTATATGTGCTATAATATGTTCTTAAAGTTTCTGAACTAATGCCATATTTGAAGAAAATAGTATTATTAAATAATTTCCACACATTCTTTTAACTTGTTTTTGTTCACACGAGTATATTTGAGATATTTTGCGACAAATGTGACTTCTATTCTATTCTATTTCTATTCTTCGAATCGATGCAGATTTATGTTTTATGAAAAGTGACAAAAACGGTTCATTTAAACATCATTTGTTACTGTTGATTTTGAACAAATAGTTTTTGAGTGTGGCAATCACTCAAAAGCACCAGAATGAGAAGTCACTCAAAAATATCACTCATACGCCGCCTGGGCTTCGGCTTGTTGTTTGCTACGTGCGCATTTGACCAAACAGTCGAGTGTGGACAACATTTGCGTGCAGAACGGTGCGATTGGCGGATAAGCGTGTGGAAAACCTACCGAAAATTTATTAAATCAAATATTCTCACAATATCATTTAAGCTTCTAAACAAAAGTAAGTCCTGAAGTGTGTGTTAAAGAATTGTGTTCGAGAGAAAAATACTTGTATACAACAAGTAATAGTATACCACTTATGTGTAGGGACATAAATGCACATATAGTGTAGTGTAGACACTATATCAGTGCGCGAAATGCTTACAATCAGAATATTGAATGGAATAAAACTCTGAATACAACGGGAAATGATTTTCAAGTGCTGCATGACCCGATTTCAAGGAAAATATGAATTGTGCGGCTATTGTGTGCTGCTCCTCCAGCGTTGTGAACAATGGAAAGAGTATACACACACAGATACACTATACATACGTGTATGTATATTTAGCATCGTTTTAGGCGCACTACCTACTTCTGCCTATGTGTTTTTATGTAGATGCGTTACAAATGTGTATATATAAATACTAGGCACAGGTTTAATCATCAACAGCTTCGTCCCCTGCTCTCATCCTTTGAGAAATGAAACATGCGCACTCACTGCTGTTCCTTGCTTTTGTTGAGCTCTGTGGGCTCTCGGGGAGTGATGTCATCTGGAGCTGTTGGTGCTGCTGCATATTTCACGCCAACCTGACCTCACTCTTTACGCTGGGGCAAGTGGCGTGCTCAGCAATGGGTCCCCATTGGTCTGACGGCGCCCACCACGGCCCCCAACCCCAACCCACTCGTATATGTTTCACTTCCTGTTTCTGTGGTGAGCATTGCCCGCGCTTTAATGCACAGCCATGGCATATCGCAAATAAAGTATATACACAAGCTGCGCCACTTTTGCTTTCGATGTGAATGTCTCGAAATTTAAATATTACTGGAACTATTTATATTGTGCGCGCATTTGAAAAATGTTGAGCAGAATAATAGTGGAGAGGAGGGCGATTATCGCTATGTATACATAGAGATGACCTAATTGTGTGCACTGCATGGCTGTTTTGGTTTGTGGTTTGGGGTTGAGGTAGGTCCTCCGCTAAGATGAATTGCCGAGTTATTAAGAAGAAATATTCTCTGTCGTTATTATTCTGAAAGGTGCGCTTAGGTCCCCTTCCATATACAAGTACATATATAAAATTCAAATTAACGCCAACCGCTTTTGGCAAAAGCAATTAAGAATGATATAGACGTACGAGTATCGACGATAAATGCCACGCGCTCCCTCATATCCCTCCCTCACACCATATGTAGAATTATGATGCCAAAAGCGAGCGCAGAAAACATAAAATACGAGTAATCTGGCTAATTTATCATGGTCTGCAGCAAGTCAAAGCGGATTATTTTTGATTTTTCTTCTTTTTTCGAACTAGCCACACTTTCTGGTTTTCTGGCTGTCTCTCCCCTGCAGGTATTTGTAGTTTCCAATTACATACGGGTACATTCAACCAGACACAACTTTGTCTGCTGGGTGGTCACTGACTATATTTCTGGGCATATGTACAAAAACAGGCGGCACTTGAATTACGCAGTAGCAAGTTAAATCATACATTGTAGTGGAAGGCCAAGGTATACGTTATATTATTGATGGGTGAAGAGGCGTCGATAGGCGTGCTTCTCATTAATTGTGCTGCGAAGCTCACCCATGACACTTGACATACTATAAATGAATGCAATTAAGTAGAATGAAAACAAAAGCGCGAAGAGCAGAAGTAATAATTACAAGTCTAAGCTGGCATGAGAAGTCCAAAGAAGTGACTTGAGAAATCATAGCGAACAAATATGTATACAGTAGTGACGAAGAAGCCAGTCCTTAGACAATTAATAATTGCCTATGTCCTCTGTGGAGATATCGTAGGATACATCTTAATTAAGTATGGGATTGATCGGCGCCATATTAAGTAAGGGAAGGATCATATATAGTATGTGATGAAAATGCCAAAGTAAAGAAAGGAACAAGTATAATAATATATTAGCTAGGAATCAATTAACTATATGATATGTATGATTATTATTATGGGTTTCTTGATCTTTGATTTCCTATGTGAACATTTGAGTATACGAGTAATGCGAAAAGCATTTGGAAAACAATACAAATAAATGCAATCGTACAAGTAGTTATCAGGTCCATTTTCGAAAACACAAGTCGACCACATTTTTACACTGATTACACTATATTTTCTCTCTTTAGGAATTTGCAACCAGCCTAATCTCTCTGTTCGCTCTTCTGTAAAAAATAACTCAATACAATCGGTGCTCGGCATGATGTGGCGGCATGATGATTTCTTTTTATTAAGAGTACCTTTCAAGCGGGGCGTGCAATATTTTTAAATGCTTATTTCATATTTAAATTGCCAATCATGTTGACGGCTGAAATATCTATTTAGGCATAATATTGCTCGTATTTAAAGTCCAGTGCGTGTTGTATGGATTATATATTTTTGCATGCTCGGTTGCGGTTGAAGCGGTAATCGCAGCTATTGTGGCGATGACATAAGCAGCTGGAATTAGAAAAGTATCATTTGGGGGCATTAGAAATCGCACTCGCGAAAATGATTATCGTGCGGAACTAGCGCAGCACACAGAGAGTGCAGGGTGAATAGTGCAGGGAGTAGGGGCCAAGGGGCCAACATTGTCAACAATTGACACGCTCGCTGAGCAGCGGGTGGGAGATGGAATTACGAGCATATCATGGATGAAGGTCGCTCTGGCCTTGACCCACCCAGATGAGCCGTTGTTCTGAGCCCACTTGGCTTGCTCATATGGGGCATATGGCTAATCTGTTTAATCTCAGCGCTTTAATTAACAATGTGTCATGTTCATTTTGTTAACAGCTGTCAAACACAGGCCTCACAATACAAGTAATTCTCCAAAGTCGGAACCAATGGCCACTCAATGCATAATTTAAAGCGATTTAATTTATGCACGCGTTGTGCCTCCAAGCGAGTCTCAGACTTGGACTGCAGCTTCTGTGCTTTTGTTGTGGCTCCTTTAACTGCCGTATAATTAATGGCCCAACCAATAAAGGCCTACGTTTTATTTAATCATTGTGCTTTTTATTATGTGCTCGCGCTTCCCTTGGCACACCGCAGTTTAGGCATAGCGACAATTTATGTTGCCTGCACATTTAAACTGAAGTCGTTGTAAGATTTATGGTCGACTTGAATAAGTAGCTTGTTCTCTGATGGGAATTAAACGACTTTTCCATGTTTAGTTTTCGCTACAGATTACTTTTAAATTGGAACGCATGCAGGCCAATATTAACGTAGAAACTCTGACGACGAATAGGCTCAATTATGTAAAACGACTCGTGGTCAGGGCAGACTATAGACCCATTAATATTTAATTCCACCTCATTATGCGCTCTTCGCAGAGGCAAGTTTACTCTTAAATGTGTGTAATTACTTCGCTACCAAACTACTAGCTAGGTGCTATTGTCTATGTAGGAACCGGCATTCGTCTGATAATGTCTTTATCAAGATTTTTTCTCTCTTAGTCGCTTGATAAGTCCTCCATGGTCAACCACTAACTATACCCAGTATACCAATTCTGCCACCCCAAAGCAATTTAATTTTTTCATCTGTTGGTTATCCATTAGCCACTACTTGCACATCTCAGGCAGTGGTTAAGGTGATGCTCTGATCCTAACTGATGGAAGTTTCCAAAAATCTAAGTTTTAGTTTTTCAATGAACATCATTTGATGCCAATTGAATAAGATTTCGAACTTATCAAATATTTACGGCATTTCTACGCCAAATATGAAAGTCTAATATAGTATATGATTCAAAACAGAAAAGACAGATTGATTATTATTATGTATTTATACTATTTATACTACCTCATCAAATATTCAAAGAAAAAGGGAAGACACATATTAAATATATTATTAACACATACACATCTATTAAATATTCATAATATAATATTTAATTTAAAGAAAGTATAAACACCTTACGTATACTTTTTAATCTTTAATTATGGCGTCTACAAAAACTAAAACTTTCAGCCATAGACATTTTGTGGCATCTCAGTGTAGGCCTCATAAAATTCTTCTTCACTCTTCCACTGTAAATGCATAAAATCGGTTAAATAATTGGATTTGCTAGAAGTGGTTAACTTTTAAAAATCTGCCGTTCCTCAAAGCCTAAAGGCCTACACCTGTTTGTCTAAAGACCGCTATGTTCGGTATAAGATTCTTGCTCCAGGGCACAAGTTAAATTTCTAAATTTTTATCGACGCCAGAGAGTTGTGGGTTTGGTTAACATTTTGTGTTCACGCGTATGTGTCGTCATCAGTGGGTCGTTAAAGGCCATTATATATCTACATATATGTATGTACAGCTATCGCTTTGTGGTTGTGCGTCAGCGATAGAGAACAAGCGGCGTATGAGGGAGAATTTTTAATGGACCGAACCCCCAATAATCTGCATATAATTATAAAACAGCTGTGAAAGCTTGACCGGAGAAAAAGTTGCAAAGTCTTGGCATTCATTCTTTGCTGTACCGACGAGCCGGTTGTTGTTTTCAAAGCTGGCTGATATCATCGGGCACTATAGTATACATACGAGTATATAAACAAACAGACTCGTATATAGGTTCGCTTATGATGTGCAATAAAATAGTATAAGAGAGGAAGCTGAGAATTGATAAGCTTATCTGTAGAAGCCGAACAAGAGAAAAGATATATAGAAAGCTACGGACTAGACGCCTTAGATTAGTGCTTAATAGTCAATTCTACTTGACCAACCACAATGTTGGCCACCATTGCAGCCAATAGGTAAGAATCGAAACAACTGCGCATTAATAGATATTGCGTGCGAGGTTAAGCAACAAACAACTAATTTCAAATGAACGTTAATTGATAAGCCACACATGTACAATAAACATATGTATACATATGTATGTATGTATTAGTCATCGATATGTTTAACTCTCTTCTATAGAAGTCGAAGCCACAGCCCAGTCATGTCGGACGACGCAGTTAATGGCACCACTTCCCCATCTCCAGCGCCCGCTGCTTCCGAACCACCATCCGTAGAGCTGGCCCAAATGGCGCTGGAAGAGCAGCCGAAAGTTAGCTTCTCGGACCAGTTCAAGGCCTTCTCAAAGTTCGGCGACACCAAGTCGGATGGAAGGCTCATAACGCTGTCGCAGAGCGACAAGTGGATGAAGCAGGCGAAGGTGATAGACAAGAAGATAACCACCACCGACACGGGCATACACTTTAAGAAGTTCAAGGCCATGAAAATTTCACTGAGCGACTATAACAAATTCCTGGAAGATCTGGCCAAGACGAAAAAGGTGGAGCTCTCGGAGATTAAGCAGAAGTTGGCTAGCTGTGGTGCACCTGGTGTGCTGTCGGTGTCGGTGAGTATGGATGGGACTTAATAGTTTCCAATATTTCTAATTAACTCCTCATATTGTTTGTAGGCCGGCAAGGCGGCTGCGGCTGTGGATCGTCTGACGGACACCAGCAAGTATACGGGATCTCACAAGGAGCGCTTCGATGCCAGCGGCAAGGGCAAGGGTATTGCTGGGCGTCGCAATTTGGTGGACGATTCCGGCTATGTGAGTGGCTATCAGCACAAGGACACCTACGATGCCCCCAAATAGAGAATGTACAAATGCTCGTATTATTTAGAGTTCTTTGTCCCAACTCGCAACATTGCAAATCCCTCTCGAAGTTTATTCCACCAGATATTCAACTTTTTATTTAATTTATGTGCAGTTTCTTAATGTATGTAGCATCAATTCTTTGTTTTCATTCTCGTATGTAATATAATATAAGTTGTGATAATTTAAGTGCTTAAAATAAAAAACCAATTATCATTTAATATTTGTTAAATTGTTTTATTTTCATTTATTTTCATTTCCTACAACATTCAGTTTCACTTCAGTTTCATGCAAGTCTAAAATTCCAAAACCAAAATACAAAAATGTTTGAGCACATCTTAGGATTACAAATTTAAGATAAACTTTATAATGACAAACAAACAAGATTTTATTATACATGTTATTATACTTGTACAACCCTACCAAAGATTTACGTACATATGTATACATTCATACTATACTCGTCCTTACAAGTACTTGTATATTGCGAATCGAACATTTTTCGCTTGAATACAAATTCTAATAAAGAGAACAATTGTGTATTAATTGATGGAATTGTTTTTTTTTAGGAGATTCGCTTATTCTACTAATCTAATGAAACTATCTATTAATTAGATCTGAATCCATTTAAAAATCGATTCTTGAGAAAATACAAATTTTTGTATTTTTATAAAAGTAAATACCAAAATTTCAATACCTCCGGTTTGAAATTGTTGAATTTTCTAATAAAGCATTAGAATGGCCGATTATTTTATTCGGACTCTAAATGCAACACAAGTTATACTTGTCTGTTTTGATTAAAATGTATACAAGAAATTAATAAAAGTAAAGCTTTAGACGCATTACTAAATAGACAGTAATTGGGCATCCATTGGGTTTAAGAAAACTGAATATTTCAAAATCAAGGCCAACGAGCTTCTCTAACCAAGTTTTAAGTCGATTTCTTTTCTGAAACCCATTTGATATTTAAATACTAAACATTACTTATTTCAGTTTCGCTTAAAGGCTTTGCAAGTGATCTAATAGGTGTCGTAGCGGTTGAGCCCCTTAAAAGCTTCATTTACGGATTAGTCTATAAAGCAGTCTATAGCCATATACGATATACATACATATACATTATATTATATTGTATAGTATGTATATTACGTATTTGTAAAAGTATCCATTGATCCATTGCACCGAGTGAAGAGTAATGAGTATTATGTCATTGTCAGCAGCGGTGCGTCGCAAAACCAGAGCAGTGTGAAGCAGATTAGGCGTTAGACGAAGCGAATGAGTTCGTCGAGCCGCATGGAAATCGATATACTTGCAGCATTTGCACAATCTAAGCCAGACGGGGAGGCGGCTATCAATTGCAATGCGCCTCTTTATTGGTTTGTTATTACTGGCAGATCAGTAGATATCGGATAACTGCAACTAGTCGGCTATAGTATGGTATAGTCGGGTGGGTCTATAAAAGCCGCAACAGGTGCCCTTAAAGGCTGCAGTGCAGCCCCGACAGTCAACCCGACAACAAGAACCACATTGGAGACTCTCCGTTGCATTCTCAAGACACAAGTGCAGGAACCAGTAGAAGGAATCATCGAAGCAGCATCAGCAACAGCAACAATTAAAATGGCATTCCGTGGAAAGAACGCAGTGGTTACGGGTGGTGCAGGCGGCATAGGGCTCCAGGTGTCGAGGCAACTGTTGGCGGCAGGTGCATCGGTAAGCTGAGCTGAGAGAGTGTCCAGATCTGAGTACGTCTAATGTGTTTGAGGCTGCCTTCGCAGAAGCTTGCCATTATAGATCTGCAGGACAATTTGGAGGAGTTTGTCAAGCTGCGCGCGGCTCATCCCACGCAGAGTGTGATGACCGTTAAAATGGATGTGGCTAACAAGAAAGGTATAGAGGCCACTTACGAGGAAATCATCAGGACCTTTGGTAGCATCGACATTGTGGTGAACATTGCAGGTATTTTCAATGACAAGGAAGTCCAGCGGACGTTGTTAGTGAATCTAGTAAGTCCCTGCGGCCATTCCCATAACTTGTGAGGCATGATTTCATGAAATGTTCTTTAAATTTCAGGGAGGCATCATCAACTCTAGCTTGAGTGCATTGCAATGCATGAGCAAGGAGAATGGAGGCAATGGTGGCATTGTGGTCAACATGAGCTCTGTAGTAGGTCTCGACCCCATGTTCATAATACCCGTTTATGGGGCCACTAAGGCGGGAATCATTAATTTTACTCGTTGCTTGGGAGTAAGTTATTGAATTTGTCGATGAAAAGACATTCTATTCACAGCTTTTCGTACACAGAACGATAGCTTCTATAAACGCTCGGGAATTCGGTTTGTTACGGTCTGCCCAGGCGCTACCATGACGGATATGTTTACCAACTTCACCGAAAAGATTATTTTTCCGGAAACAAGCGATGAGACTTACAAGATTCTAGATCGCTTGAACAAGCAGAGCGCCGCCGATGTCTCCCGTTGCATTTTAAATGTGCTTGAGAAGGAGAAGAATGGCGCCGTCTATGTTATCGAGGGAAAACGCGTCTTTCCCATAGAAATGAAGACGTACTGGACGGGCAAGGAACAGGCCTAGATCATGACTATTGCCTGCAAGTGGGGAAGGGGGTTGCAACATACTATTATCAACAAATTAGAAATGAATTATCAAATGTAGTCTTTAATTAATTAAACAAATAAAACGAACAAAATACTCTGTGTGACCTTTTTAGTCAGTTCGCCAACTAACCAGCACCTCGTCCGTGCGATAGCGCTGCGTCACAAAGGACTCCTCGAAGGGCATGCGTGTGCCTGCCCGAAACATTTCTGCGCCAGCATGAGCAATCATCAGTCCATTGTCAATGCAATAGCGTTCATCCGTAGCAAAGAGTTTGCCACCGCGCTCTTCGCACATAATGCGCATCATTTCCTGAAGTCGTTCATTACAGCCCACACCGCCGACAATAAGCACCTGTGGGGCGTTATGGGAAAAATATAAGCTGTGAGACCTTAAAGCAATGCCTCCATACCTCGTTGGAACCGCAATGGGCCATGGCGCGCTCGGTTATCTCCACCAGCATGGCGAAAATTGTTTCCTGTAGCGAATAGCATAGGTCCTCCTTGCTATATTCCGGATCTACTTCATCCTGTGGCTTCTTGCGCTTGTTGCGTCGTCTGCTGGGATCCGCCAAATCTTCAATGTGCGACAGAATTCCCGAAAAGCTAACATCCATCCCTTTCACTACATAAGGCAGTTTTACGTATGTGTTTCCCTTCTTGGCGAGCTGCTCAATATTATAGCCGGGACTGGGATCATTTGATAGCTTGATGATGCGTGCAAAGCGATCCAAGCAATTCCCCACAGCAATGTCAATGGTCTCGCCGAAAATGCGATAGCGCTGATTGGAATAGGCAATGACCTGCGTGTTACCGCCGCTTACATATAAAACGATCGGATTTTGGGCGCCGGTTATATGTCTGCCCATCTCAATATGGCCCACGCAATGGTTAACACCCAACAGCGGCTTCTCCCACAGCAGTGAGAGCGTGCGCGCCACAATGGCGCCAACCAACAGTGGCGGCGCCATGCCGGGTCCTTTGGTGTAGCAGATTACGTCCAGATCTGCAGGCTTTAGCTGCGCCTCTTTCAGGCTGGCCTGCACCAATCCCAATATCTCTTCACGATGATGTTTGGCCGTCTCCTTTGGTAGAAAACCTGTTGCACAGCGGCTGTTTTATTTAATGCTTACTTATGTATGTATGTATATGTGTATGGTCTTCTGGTTTATGTGCTTACCTTCACCCGGAGGTGTGATGTAAGTGCGTCTTACATTTGCCAATACTTCGCCATCTCGTATAATGCCAATACCGATTTTGTTGGCGCTGCCCTCGATACCCAGCGCACAGACCATTATTCATTTACTTCACTAACCGCTTTCAGTAAATTGAATTGTAAACAATTTGCGACGTGCAGCGACAGCTGCTTGAATTGCACGGTGAACGGCAAAAAGCGTGATGCCCATTGTGAATGGCGCTTTTGAGTGAAAAGAAAGATGTAGTGAAATCTGTTTGCAAAAATTTACGAATAAACAAAACAATTGTGTCACAACTACGTCAACATGGACTCCGGGCAGACGTTAGCGGCTGATAATAAAGGGGAAAATGTTGCAGAGGCAACGCACAAACCGAAGACAGACTCGGAACCAACAAGCCAAAACAAAGACTATGCAGACGACGTGGACACAGCGTCTGCATTAGAGAGCGAGCTTCAGGAGCAGCTGGAAGACGGTAACAAAGTACAAAGTGAGAACAATACAAAGCAGGAGGCAGAAGTACCCACAATCGAGGCAACAGCGGCAGTATCTAGCTTGGCTGATGGTATTAAAGCAGCTGTGCTTACGCAGATGGCTCTGCCAAATTCGAAGGATCACGATCCGTCCATCAACAGCGTTGCTGTTTCTGTAGGAGTTGAAGGAGCAGCTCAGCCCAAACCGTTGGCCGTATCCATGCCAACCACACCATCCATGCCAGCCATGCGCTTTCAGCTGTTGCAAGAGCAGGAGGCACAGGATCGCAGCAAGACACAAAACGATATACTTTCGCATGTACACTGCCTGGCACAGTTGGAGGAGCAGCGACGTAACTATGAGCTGCAGCTGGAGCAATTGCGCACAGCCAATGCGCAGAAGGACAATATGATGACACTTTATCAGCGGGAGAATGCTATTCTGGAGAAAGAGAAACTGGCATTTCGCAAGGAAATGGATATGGCTAACAAGGAGAAGGAGGCCACTGTTATCAAGTTTGCCATGAAAGAGAAACTGCTTATCGATGCTAAGAAAGACAAGGAGGCTGTGGAAAAACAGCTGGCCGATGCCAAAAAGGAGGTGAAAAATGTGTCCATGCGCTTCCAAGCGGTCCATGAAGAGAAGTCACGCATGACATACATAATCGATGAAAAGGTAGGAGTGAGAGCATAACTTCATATATTCAATATTTGGTAAATTCGTCTATTGCAGTGTAATGAAGTTCGGAAATACCAGCGCGAATGTGAAAAGCTCAAAACGGAGATGGGTCATTTAGAGTCCAAGCTTAAATATCATGTCAATAAGCTCAATATTGAAACGGAGGCCAAGGCGGTTAGTAGACACATAATAGTTTCACGCTTTTGCGTTGCAAAGTTCTCTTTCTGTAGGTGTTGGAGCGCAAGCTGGAGGAGGAACGTAATGCACCCAACAAGCTGGAGGAGAAGGCCAATGGTAAAACAAATTTTAGCCTATTGACTTTACCTTATTAAAAAATTATTCTCCATTTCATAGAAAAACTCAAGGTGGAGTTCGAGGCCAACACAATACTCTTGAAACATGAAATTACAAGTAAGACTGAAGTACTTGAAAAATTAAGCAAGGACCAGCAGAAGCAAAGCGAAGTCAACAAGGAGTTACAGCAACAGCTTTTGGAACGCACAGCTGCGGTAAAGTAACTTGGCATTTGAAATTTATCTTAAATTGCTAAAGTATTATATAGAACGAGGAACTCACAGAGGAGCTAACAAAGCTACGTGAAGAGCACAATGCTGTAGAGGCGGCGTATAGCGATGAGTTGCTTAATTCGGCCAAGCTGCGCGGCCAGCTGGATGAACTGCAGTTGCTGCGCACACAAAATACCATGTGAGTTGTTAAAGTATAAAAATAGCTATCACCTACCAACTACAACTGTTGTATTTCTGCAGCAATGAGGAAAAATTGGGAGAGTCACAAAACAGAATCAAAGAACTGGAACTTATAGTGCAGGACAACGATTCGGATCTGTCACAATTGCGTAAAAAGGAACAGGAATTGCTAAGCATTAATATGGAAATGAGCGAGCTTATTGTGCGACTGCAAAATGACATTTGTTTGGCCGAGTCCAAGGTAAACGAAAAGTACAAATAAAAAATACCTGCCCCGGGTGAGGATCGAACTCACGACCTTAAGATTATGAGACTTACGCGCTACCTACTGCGCTACCGAGGCCGCGTGTAGGGACTTCCCCAATTGTCGAATCGAATTACACAGAATTCTAACACATATACATACTATATATCCATATACATGCATATGTATCTAATTATTTGTACAAACGCCTTATCTGTTTTCACACCTTTAGGCGCAAGGTCTGGAAGCTGAGAACAAACTGCTGAAGCAAGAGAGACTCAGGTATGATGGGAAATACAGGGAGTTGGAGCAACAGCTGAGGGACGAGGCCGCACAAAAGAATGAGGAACGTCAACTGCTGGCCAGACATCTGTCCGAGAAGACGAAGCTGTACGAGCTGACCAAAACAAAGCTGGAAAACGTGCAAGGGGACTTTGAGGCCACACAAAATAAGCACGCAACAGTGGTGAGGGAGCTGCAGCGTGAATTACAAAAGTACAAGAAGGGAACTAACGATGTGAAGGGAATGCCTGCGAGTTATTGCAGCAGCTGCCACCAGGCTGTCAATGGCCATTCCTCTGAGCTTCGGCGTACGTACAGCCGCACCAGTAGCCATGGAAGTGCACAAAGCGGCAGCCGACGTGCAAGCGAGTCGTCCGAATCTGAAGCGGCTGCGAGTAGCGTGACAGCTGTTCCTCACTCGCACTCACAAGTGGACATGCAGGCGGTGCCGTCCAAGAAGGTGTTGGTGGAACGCATTCTGCGACTGCAGCAGGCCACGGCCAGGCAAACAGAGCGCATTGAATTTCTGGAGAATCACACGGCGGCACTGGTGGCTGAGGTGCAGAAGAAATCGAAGGTGGTGCAGCACTATATGCTGCGTGATCAGACCGCTGGCGCTCTCACCTCTTCCAAAAGCGATCAGAATAAAAGCGATCTCGTCAAATACGGCAATGGGATAATGGCGGCCATTTATGGTGGCGTCAAGGGTGGTGAGCATAAAGGCATGACACTGGAATTGTCAACTGAGATTAACAAAAAGCTGCAGACAGTGCTGGAGGACACGCTGCTTAAGAACATAACGCTCAAAGAGAACCTTGATGTCTTGGGCCTGGAGGTGGACAATCTGACGCGCAAGTTGCGCGCCTTCGAATCCATGAAAGGGCACTGACAACATTTTCCGACATTTTCGCCATAGAGCCTCAGTTTAAATATCCAACTTTTTAGGGTTAAATGTAAAGTATTTCGTAGTGTATATACATATATATATATATAGGTAAGAAAAATCCGTTGTGTTTAAGGTGAATCATGTATTTGTGTATTACTTGTATATTAAAACATCAATATGTTAACAAGGCATGCGAGGATTTGGCTTATAATAGACCTTCGTAGAGTTTTGCGCTGACTTCTGGTGGTTTGCTCAAACTCATACCAAGTTGCACTGTCGGTTGCTCACCCTCCGCGGCGATCCGCGCCTGCTTGTTATACGTTTTCTTGAAGTGTACATTCATGAGGGGATTGGACTCGCCCGTCTCCTCACGAATGTATTCACGCAAGAGCGGCGGAAACTCAATCTTATTCGGCAATATGACTTCACCGACCTTTTTCGTGTTCTTCAGAAACTTTTGCTCCTCCTCGACGGGCACCAGTTCATAGTCTGCTTTGTAGCTGGTGCTGTAAATCTCCACTGGCTTTGGTTGTGTCACACCTCGCCAGGTTTTCTCCACTGTCACGCGCACCTTGCGTTCCTCACCCGGCTGCAATGCAAGTTCGTCAATAAAGAGTTTCAGTGTGCTTTCAGTCGTAATCTTACTTTCTCATCCACTGCCTGCACCTTTAGAATTCGCATGAAGCATGGCTCCGGGTAGCGCTGAAACATATTACGTATCAACATGCGACCGACTCCCCAATTGGGCAGGTTGGCCACCAACTCCCAAAGCGTGTTGCCGCGGAAGTCTGTGGTGCGCCCAATGTATTGTATCACTTTTTGGCTCATTTCACTACTGTTCCGTTCGAGTTTAATTAAGAAACTAAGAGTTAACCGCTCGTGTTTGTTATGTAGCAAGAAGTTAACTGCTGAGCGCTGCTGCTTCTATTAAAAATGTCATTCACCTTTCGGCAATGACACAACGGCGTTGCCACTTGATGCGCAGTAATTGTAACGGCACATTCATTGCGCCTTTTTGGTAGTAGTTGGCAACGCATGCCTTGGAGAAGTCGGTGTAATTTTTACGATCTTCATGTGCAAGTTGTTTTTCTAAAAGAATTTAACGCGTTAGAAGTTTTGCGCTCGAGAAACGCGCTGCGCAAACTGTTTGTGAAGTCGGGGAAACTTTTACGATCTTATACGGAATTTGTGTTTCGAAAAGAGTTTAACGCGCAGCCGAAGTGAATCAGTGCTAGAAGTTATGTGCCTGAGGAATGCGCTGCGCAAATTGTTTGGTGAGTTTGTTTATTTATATATACATATACATACATATACATATATTTTTATTGAGGAATAGATAGCGATCACATAAATAAATAAGGATGTATACGCACTTGTATATCCTTGTATAACTAGATTTTAAATTGATAGTTGCTATGACCATGACTAACCACTGCGCTCATGCTCGTCCAGCGCATCATCATGCGCCGAGTGGCCCACAGCGCTCGCGTCCACTCGCTCGTCGTACACCTCTTCTTCACCATGATCTCCATGCCCCGTGGTTTGATTTGCACTCTCATGCAAGCCAATCGTTGCATGCGCCCCTGCCTTCGATGCATTTACCTGCGCTGCCGCGGCAGAGGATGCTGCCTTAAGAGCCGCCTCTTTGGTGGCTGCGTAATCTACTTGCGCTTGGTGCAGCTGCTCCTCGACCTGCTCCAGTCTGCTTTTCGCTTGTCCCACCATGCTTGATTGCGATGCCAGTTGATTCGCTACCTCGCTGGAGGTTTGCTCGGCCTGCTCCGCCACCGACTTGGCATTGTTAACAGCTGCCGTGAGCACAGAAATGTGATGATGTGCTGCCTGTGCCGTTTGCTGTGCCAACTTGGCCGATATCTTTGCGGAGTTGAGCTGCTCCAGCTCTCGTGAGAGCGCGCGTTGCGCTTCCGCGGCTTGTTGTTCCAGCTCCTGCAAGATCACTTGCTTGCCGGCTAGGGCTGCCTGAGCCGTGGCGGCGGCTTGAGATGCAGCCTGTGCCAGTGTGTTTTTGGCAATAAATGCTGCCTGTTTGGCCGCTGCATGCTGATTGGCTACCGCACTGTGAGCCTGATCCGCCGATCCCTGGGCTATGGAGCGCAATCCACTGCCTATGCTGTAGCCGGCCTTGTTGCCACTGCTGCTGCTGCCACTGCCGCTGCTGCTCCCAGCATTCGAAGATTGGCTGTAGTAGCCTTTGGAGCCGCCGGAGCTGCCGTGCTGATAATGCTGTTGATGGAAGTGCTGGCGATGTTGGGTCTCGTGTGCCGGCGCTGTGGGCTCTTCATGGCCCTCGAACGTTGGTTCGAAGTAGCTATTCTGATGATGATAGTTTTGTTGAGGTTGAGGCTGCGAGTGCCTGTAATGGTATCCATTTCGTTTGTGCAGCCTCGCCATTGCCTGTGCGCAGAGCAGCGCTGTTTTAAATCATGAATAATGGAACTTTCTAATGGAGATTTGGATGCAAAACTTTGACTTACCTATTAGCAATTGGCCTAGCAAGCAACGTAATCCTTTCGCGTACATCTCAGTTAGTCTGTCACAAGTGCATTGAGCGCCTGCCTCGCTTGTGGGCTTCGTTTTATACCCAACAGTTGATTGATGGCAGCGATGCAGAAATTTTGTAGTGCGGAAAGTCAGTTGCGGTTTTTGAATTTAAGTAGCGCTCAGCATGTAATGTTTTTTAACATTTTTGTAATTTGAATAGGTCGACCCAAGCTTCAGGAAGCGCCAACAGTTTTGTGCGAGATTTGGGAGCGAGTTTTAATGCTTCGGTGGCACGCATGTTATGGCGATGGGCGTAGATGTGTGGGATGTTAAGTGCGGCTTATCTTAAGTGGTTTTTCTTCGCATAGTTTTTTATTCGCATTGCTGGTAATCGAATTTGCATTTTATGGGTTGCGTCAAATCTAAATTGATCCTAAAATGTTGCACTGATTTGGATTTAACGCTTGTTACGCGATAATGATGTTAATAAGCTGCACAGTAGCTGGTTAATGTACTGTAAGCATTTGCAATCTTTGCCAAGCCATTGGGAGTCGTAAAAACTATTCACACTTCGCTTTCATTCACTTTCATTCATAATATACTCGTATGCACTATATTGTAGCTTTTCATATTTACTTGAAATGAAACATAAACAAAGAAAATGCAAAAGCATCGTGCAGTCTAAAGTTAAGGCATTTCATAAGAACATAACGCAAAGGCAGCGTTTTTGCTTAATTCCCTAACTTTCCGAGACTTTAAAGGAGATAACAAATTTTGCATTGCATGCAACGGCTAGGTTAGGAGTGTTAGATGAGTATGATGCCGGGAATAAAAATTCACATCATTTATTCATTCTTTCCTATAATGTAATTTTTAGTCAGTTTCAAGTTTGGTGCTGCCTTAAGGATCCTCTACTTGTATAATGCCTATAACTTACGGCACTATTGACGGAAACAGAAGATTGACTCTCCCCAGATCGTGCGACTTATTTTTCAGGCATTTTTGCAACTGAATCATGTTTCTACTCTGGAAATGAAATGTACAATAGTATATTAAGTTTGCGGAGGTGAAAAATGTAACAAGCAGAAGGAGGCGTGGCAGACCCCACAAATTATACATATATATTCTTGATCAGCATGACAAGACGAGCCGATCTAGGCCTGTCTGTTTGTCCGTATGAACACCTGGACTTTGGGGACCATAAGAGCTAGAGACGCAAAATGTTGCACAAAGATGCCTTATGTGTGTTTGTTTTATTTTTTCTCCCTATGGGGGCTTTTTCGTTTTTCCGTTCGTATAATCCTATAACCTATAACCTATATCTCGGAGACTATGAGACCTAGGGACACCAAATTTTTGCCTTATGTGAATACCAAGGGAGGTATAATCGATCGAAAATTTTTTTTTTTTATTTTTATAATTATTCTACGAATATGTGCAGAGTATTCCAAAGTCGGGACACCCGACTTTAGCTTCTCCACTTGTTTTGATATTTAATTTCCAGCGCTGTTGCTCCCCAAAGCACTTATGAACTTGGTCCAATTGATTCGATTTCCATTTAAGATTTGTACATCCGCTGTGCGCTAGTAGGACCCATTTATCTTGTTCCTTGCTAACACGCCTCTTCTACTGCAACTGCCACACCCTCTTTTATGGACAGTTCGAAATGGCGTTGCCATAATAGTCGGTAACGGTTTCGAATTTTCCAAACCGCTTCTTATCGCTGACCTACAAGATAAATGAAAACTTAAGTCCAAACTTCAGTATCCTAACTCGTACCGTTTTGACTGTGCATTAATCAGGACAAATTGAATTATATACATATAGTAGCTGTTTTCAAAGATAATCTCCTCTATTACTAAGCGATGATTTAATTTCATCTAGTGGTTTTAAAATAAGAACTTTCGATTTTGCGATCGTATTAAAAATTGTTCGCATTCTGGACTTTTCCATTGAAACGAAAAGTGTATTTCATTCATAAATTACTTTATTTAAATATATATGGGTTTTAATTTATTACAAATAGAGAAATAAATTAATATCAACGATAACTATTTTATGCGAAAGTCGGAACATAAATTTACAAAATAAAAGCCACTGTAGGCTTATGAGTGTAACGAAATGTGCGCCAAGGGCATAACAATAACAGAAAATTAGCAAATTGCATTAAATAACTAAATAATAGCAACGAAATAAAAAATAAAAGCTTAACGTGGTTGCGAGCACGACACGCATTTCACTTTCGGCAGGGCAGTGAGACTTAAATGACGAATGATCGAATAAATATGGTAAAAAGTATTATAACAATAAGGTGAAGCGACAATTACATAAAATGGCTGCTCAAAAATGGAAAACGAACTCATCATCGACGTTATCATCATCGTGATCAGCGGAGGCCGGGCTGATGTCGAAGTGGGGGTGACGAATGGCTTCAGGCGTGTCGCCGTGGTAAGCAGTAACGTCTGGTGTGGCCTCTAGTGTGGGTGATATTGCCGGTAATCATTTATAGTATTGTGTAATCTGGTTGATCCAATCCAAGTAGTGCGAGACTTTCACATACACGCCGGGCACATTCACCTGCCCACAACCAATGCCCCAAGAGACGACGCCGACCACGTTCCAGACACCGTTGCGCTCGCAGACCAAAGGACCACCGCCATCACCTTTGCAGGCGTCCTTACCCTCCTCACCACCGGCGCAAACGAAGCCGGGATTAAGCTTATAGCTATAGCCAAGGCGAGTGTTTCTAAGTTGAGATTCGCACTGATGATGCGACAGAATGGGCACATCGACCTCCTTCAGAATATTCTGATACTTTCCATGTTCGCCGAAGGCATCCTTGCCCCAGCCGGTGGTCCAGCAACGGGCGCCGGTGAAGTCAGAGAATTTATCGGGCAGACAAGCGGGACTTATGTGTGGGTTTTTGGTAAAGTCCACAGGATGATCCAGTTTTAATATGGCCAAGTCATTATCCAAGGTGCCGGCATAATATTCAGGATGAATGTGTACGGAGACAACATCGCGTTCAATATATGGGAAGAATTCTACATCATGGTTGACGTCCCATTCACCCAGACGAACTCGCAGATCGAAACCATTTTGGCTGCAAAGGAAAATATCGAATTAAGTCTCCCGAATTTAAAGGGGTGTTAGCTTTATCACTTACGACTTGATGCAATGGGCTGCAGAGATGATATGCTGACCATCGATCAAAGTACCACCGCAGGCATAGATGGACTCCTTGGGATCCTTCTTTAAAATGGCAACATGCCATGGATATTCACCGAACTCGCTATCACCATCGACATAGACGGGGTTCTTAATGCGTCCAGTAATTCCGGCAGCATTGCGAACACCGCAACGTCCAAGCTGTTGGGGTGGAGCTTGTGGGCGAAGGGGACGACGACAGCAGACCTCATTGATGCGGCAAGTCTTCTGCACGGGACGGTTTCCATAATAGGCGCGCTGTTAAATGAGTAGTTTCAGATTAGTACAGTTAAGTTATGTGTAACTCCATTGATTGTGATTGAATATATGCATCATTCCTCTCAAAAAACACACACACAAGGTTACCTGCTCCGCTGAAGATCTTCTAGCTAAATTTTTTTCTTCTAACTCAACTGTGTCCTCATGGTCTTCTACGCTGCGCCTTCTGCGATCACGCGGGAAAGTGATATGAGCACTACCAGAGGCAGCTCCGGGCGCCTGAGTTGGTATGCTATGCAGCGTGCTTAGGTTAAGTTGCTTGCCGCGTCTACTGGGTGAAGACCAGGTCGGCTCACTAACATTTGAGCTGCGTTCGTAGTGGTGAGAGAAATCGTCATAGTTGCCAAAGGCACTGGGCCCAAAGCCAGTTTGGGAAAGGGGCTGACTAGGCGCAAACCCTGTTGGACCCGAGGGGCCCGTACCCGAATGAATGGAGTTGAAGGAGTGATCGAAGGTGCTCTCATGATGATGATGGTAATGTGCGGGTGCCACTACGGGCTGGGGTGGCAGTGATGGACCGCTGTGGTACTCAAATATGGGAGTGCTTGGTACCATTTCCACGCTATAATGCTCTATGGGTCCTGGCCTAGATGCGTCGTATACAATCGGACCGCTGGGATGATCATGAATATGATCGTGATGATCATGCTCGTAATGATCATGCTCGTAATGCTCAAAGCCACTAAAGTGGTCGTGGTGATGGTAATGGGTGCTATGTATCTCCGTCGGCTTCTTTTTGAAGAAATCTCCGACCTTTTGAATAATGTTTTCGTTGGGTGTGACATGGAGGTTCACCAAAGGCTTTACCACCTTTTCGCCGTAGTCTGTTTTGCTCACTTGCACCGAGACTAATGGATTTACATTAATTAACCCTAGATTTAGGCCGTTGGGTCCGACAGAGCCGAAGTGTGGATTCTGCGCTGGATAGTAATCACCCAAAACATTGGGTGGATAGCCTTGTCCCCCTGAGGGATAGGGCAATCCAAAGCTTACGCCATAAGTTGGCAAGACCTTGCGCTGTATAAGTTCTATGGCCTGCAGAGCCGGTAGAGCAAGTGGCGACTGTCCGAGTGGTGCCTGTCGCTGCAGAAAGAGGGAAATTCTATTAAGCCTAGCGGCTATGGAACGGTTAGCGCGTCAGTCGGCAGGCAGCCAGGCACCCAGGCAGGCGTGCACACTTGGAATTCATACAACGGCATACTAGTAGAGGCGTGCGACCTTGACCCCGTGCGTAGTTAGGTTGGTTTTAGTGATTGTTGGATTAGTGACCAAATTCGCTGCGAAACCAACGAAACCGCGCACTGGGACCAAAGTCACATGGCAACGGCGGCGCGACGGCGACACAAGGAGCGAGTTTTAGTGGACGTTGACTAAATTGTGGTTGAGTTTGAGTTGAGCGTAGAACGATGGAAGGGAAATTGGTGTTGATATGTTTGCGTGCAGCTAGAACACGATTAGTTATTCGACAGGGGAGCATTAAACGATGTGTGAGCATTAGTTGGGCATTAACCTAAAGAGTATTACACAATCTCTTTTTCTCTCTAACCAAGTAATCTAGACTCTCAGACTTACCCCTTGAGCATCTAGCGTCAGATCGCTATTGTCGCCATCCAGAGCTCGGCTTTCAGCCGCTGGAGCTTCAGCCTCACGACGAGTGCGTTTTTTCTTATCGTCGTTCTTGTCGTCTTCTTTTGGAGAATCTGGCTTTGAATCAGCGGTAGCACTAACTGTAATATTAGATGCAGCTTCGTCACTCAATGCCTCAATGTCTTTGCCCAGATTACGGGGGTCAATAGGCAGAATGAGGTCCTCCTTGCGGCCAATACGATCAGCGGCAGGACATTGTGAAATAGGTACACATTGGCAATCGACAATTTGCTGACGGGAAGTGTCATAACCACCGGCTCCTTGATAGAGCGATTGACCTTGGTTGCCATAGCCCGTGGACAAGCCATTGTAGTTAGAGGAGGCGCCAGATTGCAATTCTTTTTTGTAATAGTCGGGATTCTGACTGTGATAACTACCACTGGGTGAGCCACTGAAACCGTTTTGACCATAGCTCGAAATACCACCTTGAGAGACGCTGGATCCACTGCCAAAGCTGCCAAGACCAGCGCTAGGCTTGTAAATATCGCCATTTGGCTTCTGACCTGGACCGAATCCGTTCTGAATAGCGCCTTGTGTAAGCAAACCTCCCTGTGAGGCAGCGTTGAAACCGGCCGTAAATGCATTGGACTGTGAGTAGCTGCCCTGGGCTTGAGGGGTATACGTAGCCGAGGATTGGGCCAAAGCGCTGAAGTCCGTGTTGATGTTTTGACCAGAACCAATTGGTACAGAAACACTGGGAACCTTAGCACCTTCAGCTCCCTCAACGTGATGATAATGATGGTGCACATGCTGCTGAAGACCGGCATCGATTGGGGAAATGGGAGCGCCTACAACCACTTTCGTGCTAGATGAAGTTGCTGCCGACGAGGAGGACGACGATTGTTGAGAGTAAAAATTGTTATTTAGCGAGGAGCTAGCGCCAATTTTGTCAGGGTTCTCAAAGTTGTACGGAGGCACTCCGTTAGAAGCACCTGTGTAAACGGGGCCGTTTGAGGGGCCAGTGTAGATTGGACCAGGTGGCTTGGTATCATAAATAAGGGCTCCAGGTGGAGGCTTCGTGTAGATAATACCATCCGAACCGTCGACGGCAGATGGTGGAGGATGCTCCATGTAGGGGCCACCGAATTGTCCACCGGGTCCGCTTGGTCTGTAGTTCATTGGTTTGTAGGGTCCTTCATAGCCAACTTTTCGTGGTGGTCCGAAGGAGTTCAACGAGTTTGGAGGTGGTGGGCCCATTGGTGGACGTCCATTGAAGTAGCTTGGTGGTGGCATAGGCTTTGCTGGTCCATAGGGGCCGCCTCCGAAGCTGCCTTGTGGCGGTGGTGGTCCTTGCGCATAGATGGTGGAGTAGAAAGGCCGCTTCTCCTCAACGTCACAGCTCATCAAGCCCAGATCGCACAGCTTATCCCGGATCAAGTTGCGTGCCTGCAGATCGTTGCCCTGTTGCAGCGCCTGATCAATATTGCCATCAGCATAGACCGCATCGTAGTCACCCAGAGTGCGTCCCTCGCGGCGTGAGTTAATCAGCTGCTCGATAATAGCGTCAATCTCCTGTGTGTCATTGCTTTGTATGGACTCGTGTACGGCATAGTTGCGTCCCTGAACGTCTGTGGCGGCTTTTTCAGGCTCTGCATCTGCGGAACGTCTCGTATGCATTGTACTTTCCATGGGAGCCCACTCACTACCCCAGGCAGAATCGGCGGCTAAGGCCCCGCTTACTAAGAGCAGAGCCCCAATGGCTACGCAGGCCAAACTGTGTCGTATTCTCATATTTCTGTTGGATTTGTCTGAAATGGAAAAAGGTTAAGCTTGGCTTTAGGATTACATAATTTCTGCGTTTGCTTAATATATGTTGGGGTGTGTGTTTGTGTGTTTCTGTGTGAGTTTGACACCATTACCCCGAGTGGCCCGTCAAGCTGAGTGGTCATCGTGCCAGTTTCAATTTCTTTTGCCATATTCTCTTTTGCAATAAAAGTTGTGTTGTGGCGTCAACGAAGCTCCTAAACCGGTTTGTCTTGAAACCGTTGTGCTGACTCATGTAGCTCGAAAGACTTTTACTTTCGTTCGAGGTCGCGGACCGTAGCCGATTGCCCGTTGCCGAGAGACTTTACCTCTACATACTCGTATAGAGTACATTTTCCAGCTCTGCTCGTTTGCGGTTGCATCGTGTTAATGACTTTATTTTTATTTTTTTCATTACCTCTATTCGAAACGGCCAAAAGAGATGGCCATATGCGCCATGTTTGTAATTTATGAGGTAATTTTCGAAACGTGCGCTTTCCGAGATTTTGCAAGCCTGCAACGTTGACGGCTTCCTCCCTGGCCGAAGTAGCGACACTGGTTGCTCAACTCGAACGGCCCAGGCCCCAACTTGATCTCTGGCTGACAGACAGTCAAGTCAACAAGATTTGACTTTCCGCTTCGTGCATTTTCGTAACTCCCCCCTACTTTTCTCTTGCCCTTCACTCTTTTGATGGTACTCGTCGTTATGTCACTGTTATCTTTTATATTTTTATAGTCTTTTCATTTTGTTTTCCTTTCTAGAGCGTGGGTCGGCGAATATCGTATTGTGATCTTCCAGCGGATCTTCGAGTTATGTAAAGCGCAGTCAAAGCTATTTTTAGACATTTCGCTGCGAACGGAAGTCGTGTGCAGTGTTGCATTGCGAATTGCTTGTAGTGTGTGGTGTGTATTTGTTCGGATTTGTCTGGGGTATTATGCTAATCGCTGTAAGTTATTTGGCGTCAGGGTGTGGGTGTCGGTGTGCAATTTTGCAATGATTGCTTAAATTAGTTGGCATGGATTAAATCTGTTGTATTTACAAGTAAGTGAAAGTTGTTGTCAATGTATTTGCGGACTATTCGGGCACTGTATGGTACAGCCAGAGCTGTAGGGAGCTAACAACTTTTTGCGTCAATATGCGGGAAGCACGACTTCTTCTATATCACTAGCACTCGCCCATTTCCATATTTTCTTTTTCGAAACTATAACTATTACTATCGCTTGTTTCCAGATTTGTTATTTTTTTCCAAAAAAGCATTTGAAGTTTTTAATAATTTGAATGTAAATTGTATCTATCACTATTGCCTGTTTGCAGTTTTGTTTTTTCACAAGACATTTAAGTGCACCTTTTCCCCATTTCTGTTTTTTTGGAAAAACATTTCAAGCTTTTCATTATAATTTTATGATAATGCGGTTAGTGAAATTAGCTATGAGCTTGTTTCACTCTCTGGTTCATAAAACACACCATAATATTTGTATGTTGCACTTCGCTTATACTCGTAGTAATGTCTTTCACACAATATTTCGTTTCACTTTTGCGCTGCATACGATTTGTGCTTATTGTTCGCCTCTTTTCTCTCACCTTTTGTCTCTTTCTCGATTAGTAATCCTATGGCGTTGGTAATCCTTATGTAAGTCGGTAAATATCCTTTCACTCGTGAGCTTATTTTCTGCGCGAGTGCTTCGTTTGTCGGTGGCTCGTTGACTGATTTCGTTTCGGCCGCTCATTGCGTTTTATACCAAAAAGTTGCGCATGCGCGGCTTCGTTGGCGTCGTCGGCGTTGGCTGCTGCGGCGCCGCTGCCTTTTTGCGAATCGCGCACTCAAAACAAAACACAAAGCGACGGCGCACTGTGTGGCTAAGCGTTTGGCAACGACTGCCCAAAGATTTTGTTGTTGCCTTTTTGGTCATGACGTCAAAGACTTTTGGCTTCTTGGGTTTTTTCTCTGGTAACTTATGCCTTCGTTCTGCGTAACGCTGGAGGTCAGGTCATTGGGGTTTGGCGAGGGTTTTTCGAACGAAAAGGAACCAATTCTAAACAGATTTTAAATCGCTTCGAAGAGCGCTTTATTTTTAGGCGTAGCTGTTGCCAAATATCTCTTATTATTATAAACTTTTGGTTGTTTCGCTGTTGCAATACCATCTTCCAAATTAGAGGTCCACAAAGCGTAATCACAACACAACATATAAAATGTTGTTAACTAAAAGACGTAAATGTGAAATGGCGCTTCATTTTGTGTGTGGGCCAGCTGGCATCTCCAAAATTTTCTATTGCTGCTACTTCCCGGAAAGGCACTTACAACTTCACTGGCAACGTGCAGGGCTTACGTAATGCTCAGTCGTCTGTGGCTTATAATTAGGCGCAAATGTGCAATAATAATTGGGTCAACACTCGAAAGCATTGAAGATGCGCAAACAGCGCTTGAATGAGAGAGGCAGCTAGGTGAATGGTAATGGGAAAAGGAGGTAAATATAAATAGTAATGACTAATGCAACAAATTGAAACACAGAGCCGGTTCGGAGATGGGTCCCCTGCAACTCAAGTAAAGCAACGCTCCGAATTCAACCGGATTCAAGCGATCAGCGATGGCATAAATACGCGTATGACAAGTTCAGTGAGCTTGTCTGCCCGTTTTTACCCCATGGCCAATATAAACATCATAATTGACGGCAGTCAACAGTCGGCAGTCATCAAAATTAGTGTGAATTCGTTTTACTATCGCACTTCAAACATTCAAACAGCCAGCCACTGTCTAGTCCACTATGAATCAAAGTGCTTCGAGTGCTTTGCGGAATTACCCGAAGTTCATTTAAATTAGTGCTGAGAGCGACGCCAATGATAATACGAGTATGTGCTGTTCGCGTGCCAGATGCCAGATGCCAACAACAACAACCTCAGCCATGTTTGAGCGAGTTTGTTGAGTATGGTCAGTGTTGTTATTAATAAGCGAGCAGCGACCTTCCTTCGATTCCATTTTGCTTTGCTTTCTACCTGCACCGTTTAGTGCTAGTTAAGTGACATTTTCTGTTTAACATTTCAAGAAAGTTAATTATAAGCTGATTGCTGCCAGATAGGCACAAACTATGCTAATCAATGTGTCTGGCACTGTTGCTGCCTAACGATTTTGTGCAGGTTTTTTTTTATCAATCAATGCCGCAACCATTGGATATTTGATTATACCCTGTGTTCGTAGGATGGAAAGGGTATATTATTTATTCAATAAGTACAAGTATATAACCCCATAAGGAGTAGGTTTTCTTAAACACCACGATGAGGCGAATCGAATCGATAGAGCCATGTCCGTCAGCACATTCACCAAACTTGGTTTAAAGGCTTTCCTAATATCCAGTCAACACGAGCTTATTTATTAACTATTTTATTTTTTTGATAATTTTTTTTCTGTCGGACGATTGTTTGGGTAGAGGGTATTTCACGGTCGGACTTGCTCGATTGCAGCGTTCTCTCCTGTTTATTAGTCAGCACTCAAATGTTAAAATATTTTGAAGGTGGTGCATCGAACTTCCTGAAGTAGTTTTGAATTTGTTCAATTTTGTGGACAGTTTGCTTAGTAATTTGCTTATAATTATCGATAACTACTTTGTTTGGTAAATTCCCATTAATTTGAACTTGACTCTGTGTTTGAACCCACTTAGTGTTAGTAACAAATCAACATATATCGGATTAAGCGCTGGCAAAGGTGTGACAAACATTTAAGGCCTTCAAGCACTGCTGATTAACAGTTGAAAAATAAATTATCCATAATAATAGACTTAAAATATGGGACCAAAATATTAAACTACAAAAATGTTAAACCTGAAATATTAAATATAATTGTTTAGCTAAATTTAGATCCTAGCTTGAGAAACTTTATCATTTTTAATATAAAGCTCGACTACTCTCGCGCTTAGTGTTTAAAATAAAATATATTATTTAATCTTGAGTGTTGAAAAAAGGACAGATTTATATATATATATATTATAAATCTAAATATATATTATAAGACTATGAGACCAAATCATTCGCTAATCGGTAGTTTTGTTGCAAATAAGTTGTTGTATAGTATATTAAATTAACATGAAAATATTAATTTTAAATGTTAGAAACATGGTTATTTTCGTGCTTCTAATATTAAACTTAAATATAAAACTAGGTCGTTTTCGTGCTTATGATTTGATTGTTATTTTTATTATTATTCAACATCTTCGCTTGGTTTATTCCAAATATGTTGTTGTGTATTACTATTTTCCTTTAATATCCTTATTTAATTTCATTAATATTGAAAAATTATTTGATCTATTCTTTGAAATGTCATTGGCAGATTAAAATATAGATAACTATTTATGAGGTCTCTTGTTGAATGATTCGCCGATGAGTCAATGTAAGCGCAAAGGTGTCCGATTAAGATCTTCCAGTAATGGAGGGGGCTGCAACAGTATAAAGATACGCAAATAAAATGCGCTAATTTGTGGTGATAGATTTGTAACAGAGTAATATATTTTGCCAGCTTTGGAATTCGCCTAAATCTGGGGCAGTGGTGTGAACGCTTGCCACAGTTCAAGTCCAAAAGCGTTTCGCCAAGGTCAAAACGCTTTTATCTCAAACTCTGGGTCAATTTCTTAACACTCGTTAGTTGAGAGCTTCCCACGCATATGTCGAACTACACAGCTTGTTTGTTTTTTTTTTTTAAACTTGTGTGTGAGTGTGTTTGATTGTGTCCGCTTGGCGCTACCTTGCCAATCGTTTTGCAATCGCAGAGGAAACAAATTGTACGTTAATTTCTAGGCAATGAGCCGTAACAAGCATTTAAGCAAAATGTCAAATCCCGACTTTAGGTGCACGCAACCAGTTAAGCCCGGTAAAGCCCGTAAAGTGCAATTGTGCCACAGCCAGAGCATTCATTTTCATTGCATGCTGCACACTTGGGCTAAACCCAAGAGCCAAGCAAAGTGTGCAACAATAGTATCGTGCCAGAAACAGCAACTTCACA